CGGGCCGGGTTGGGGAATAGTCGTCAAGGCGGGTCTAGACTGCCGTCACTAATGGGCTCAATTGCCGCCGAGCCAAACCTTACCAGTCGCTATGAAAATCTGGAAAGGCTACTTGTGGGCTAAGAAACCCAAATCAGGAGAAAGAACCACGGTGGCTCTGAACGCCGTTCAATCGCCACAGTGACAAGTCCATAGAAGCTTTGAGAATATGTTTTCCTTTGTCACTAAGTCAAGAAATCTGTGTCTCAGTGGTACCTGGACATCTTTGACCTAGTTTTAGGAGGAAAATACATAAAAACCTCTTCTTCCATACACTGTAAATAGAGGGTCGGGCTATAAGATTACATAGACTGCAAAACTTACAAATTTACTTTGTAAAAACTTGATCAAGGAGCCAAATCGATATCGAAATAGCATTCATAGAAGGGTGCAGTTAAGGGGATGCACTCATCATCGATGATGCTACCATCCTTCTCTCTTATGTAACGCTAGTTCAACTTCGTTGTTGTGGATGTAAATTTTATTGATGCTTTATACATCTTCTTTCTACGATTTAATGATATGTTTTGGTCATTAAACTCTTTCATCATTCGATGCATATATCATTATATGTTTTAGTCATGTATGTTTATATTATTCGAATACTTTAGTTGTGTGATGCATTAACCATGTGATGCTTATATCATCTATTGTGTGTTACTATGCTGTTGTTTATAATACCATGTTAAGTGAAAAGAGACTACTCTTACGTGATGTGTCATTGTCTTATGTGTGTATGGAGTAAAATGATCAACCATCCGTGCTTGCATGAGTTCAATATTTGATGCCTTAGATCATCAATGCTATGGACCATTACTATGGGTCATACATTCCCTAAGTAGTTATTGTGTTATCCTTACTTTCTTGTTTGATTGATTAGTTAATAGCAAGAAGTAAAAGCACGTATAAGCTAGTTGTAGCTCCTTTTACATGTGGAGAAAGCTCAATTAGGAATGCTTTAGTGAAAGGGATAGAGTTACATGAAAGAAGATGCATCGATGCATACCATTAATGAGATTGTGAGGTATGATCATCTATGATCGAACTTTTTTTTTCCATGTGTATCTTTACTTTTCTTATCATTTACTTTATGCTTTACTTTAAGTTATATCTCGAAAACCCACTAAACATGGGGAACATCAATCCATTGATTTTTGTTGTGTCTTTGTTTTAGCAAAGGGTAATGTCTATTTTTTATCCAAACCTTTTTTAGATTCTTTTATATTATCCAAACCTATTAAAATGCTATTAATTAGCCAAATCTTTAGCAATGCATCAAAATATTAGCCATTTTTATGTTATCGTTAATAATTTTGTAACTCTTTTCTTAGTTAAAATACTAAAATTTTGAAATGTTGACCTTCATGTGTCTCTTTCAAATCAGTATCATGTTGCCAAGTCAATATTACTAACAAAATTGCTAACTGAAAGTTTGCATTTGGCTAATTCTTAGTATTTCGATAGGTTTGGCTAATAAAAAAGAATCCAAAAAAAGGTTGGATATAAAGTAGACATTACCCTTTAGCAAAAGTGATTGGTTATCAATAGCCGTTATTAGAAGACCTTGTGAAATATGACTCTTGACATATCGAGGAATTTTATTACTTTGATGCATTACTACATACGCATCAGCGTTGTTTTACACTTTGGGCAACCAAATTAAATAAACCGCATTTTAGGATTAGGTATAAAATTTGATTTTTTGAGAAGCAACAATACTAGTCAAAATCAGGATAAACAGATGGTTTGACCGGATTTACCAGTTTCCAACTCCTAGCCAAGATGTTGTCGTTCTACACTCCTCCAGCCGTATAGCTACACCGATGTTCGTTCCCATACCCCAGCCTCCCATCGGAAAGAGAGAGCAATCTGGTGAAGCGAGGGGCGGGAAGGAAAATAGAGGTCCTAGGACTTTCTTTGGCTCTTCCGGTTGTCGGCTGGCTTGCTGAATTGTTCAAGATCATTATTACTAGAATTTCTACCCACTATTGCATGATTCACCTTATCGTTTTGGTCTATTATTGAGAGATAGAGAGAGAGTCCGAACGGGGGAAAGGTAAAATTTTGAATTATTATCATATATGTATATATTTTTATAGTAGCAGCTATGTAGTACTGTTTTGCAGTTAATAAGATACCTAGAGAGGTAAACTCAACTATTCTTGCTCTGATTCCAAAAATTCCTAATTCGGAGGAAATGAAAAGTTTTAGACTTATATCTTGCTGCAACACAATATATAAATGTATATAAAAAAAATTGTTGCTCAAAGATTTAATGCTCTGCTTCCTACATTGATAAGTAAGAATATATCTGCTTTTGTTAGGGGAGGTTAATTGGTGAGAATATACTCCTAGCTCATGAACTAGTCTCTAAATATTCGAAAAAGAATCTTTTATATAGATCTTGTGAAAGCCTTTGATTTTGTCAACTGGCAATTCATGTTTACTGTTCTTGAAGCTATGGGATCCCAGTTGCTTTTATTGACTCGATCAAGATGTGTGTTGAAGAGCCTATGTTGTGTATTGCTTTCAGTTGGGGTTTGATTAGTTATTTTCCGTCAAAACAAGGGTTGAGACATGGGGACCCAATGTCTCTACATCTGTTTGTGGTTGCCATGGAAGTGTTTACATGTTTGTTGGATAGAGAAGCAGGAAAGGGTCAGTTTCCTTATCATCCAATGTGCAAGAAGATTGGATTAACTCATTTATGCTTCTCGTATGATTTATTGGTTTTCTCAGATGGGTCTAATCATGGATTGCAGAGTGTGAAAAGAGTGCTTGAAGAGTTCTATTGTTTATCTGGGTTGAAATCTAATCCAAGTAAGTGTGAGGTTTTCTTTAAAGGGGTGGAGAAGGATGAAATCGTTGCAAGGGCTGATAGATTTGGCTATAAACTGGAAAATTTTCATGTTCGATATCTTGTTGTGTCGTTGATTGCAGGCAAGTTGACTGTGGTTGTGTGTAAGCCGTTAATTGATAGACTCACTGCTCGTATACAATGTTGGAAGGCTAAATCACTCACTTATGCAGGAAAGGTGGAACTAGTTAATTCTGTGCTTTATAGTATTACTCAGTATTGGATGAGTGTCTTTACACTCCCAAGAACTGTCCTGAGGGAGGTTGACAAGATATGTAGCAACTATCTTTGTGATGTGGGGGATGGACCAAGATTAAAAGCAAAAATTGCTTGGAAATATCTCACTTACCCTAAGAAGGAAGGTGGCCTAGGGTTGAGGGACATGTTTGCTTGGAATAATGCATGCATATGTCGTCAAATCTGTGTGATTATATTAAAGCAAGGGTCGTTATGGGTTGCCTAGATCAATGCATATAAGTTAAAAGGGAGGAGTTTCTAGGAGATTAACATTGATGGATCTTGGAATTGGAAAAAGCTATTGAAGCTTTGAGGTAAAATTCCTAACTCTTTTAGCTTAAATGATGGCCAGGTTTATTGGAATAATATTATGTTGCCAAGGTACTCTGTGAATATGATATGGGAAACACTTAGACCTAAACTGAGCATAGTCTCATGGGCTGGCTTGGTTTGGAAGACTCCTTCAATTCCAAGAAATCGATTCTTAGTCTAGCTTATTATAAAAAATAAGATCCAAACAAAGGATAAAATGAAAAAACGGGACTTCTCTGGCTCTGACATCTGTGTTCTGTGTAACCAGGTGCCAGAGAGTAGGGACTAGGGACTATATATTTTCTCAGTGTGAGTATTATAGGCAGATCTTTCTGGTGCTGTTTGGGGGTTTTCTGGGTATTTACCAAGTGACTGGGAGGACTCATTGTAGTGGGCTACTCGGCACTTTAGGAAAAAAGAGTGTGGATGCAGGGCATGGGAGACTCATTTGGCAATCCATGATTAGCCATATTTGGAGGGAGAGATGCATTAGATCATTTGAATGAACCAGCAAAAGTGTGGAAGGTCTGGGGAAGGTAATCAGAAGTGAAGTTCGAGTTTTGGTGCAGGAAGAGGAAGCTGTCAAATTCTGGATCTCTATGGATACATGTTATTGATATAGTTGTTTTGACTTGAGGTGTATAAGATAAGAATAGGTTGATATTTTTATTGCTGATGTAATACCAGTGATAACTGGGTTTTGCCTATTTGGAAAGGATGTTTCCAACACCGCTTTCTTTTGATAAAATGGAAAAAGCGTTCCATGCATAAAAAAATTATATTATGTAAAAGCGGCTTAATCCGATTAAACTCCAATATGACCAATAAATCTCAAATCATTTGTTTATCGACCCAACGATTTAATCCCATTTAACAACCTTGCTACATTGTTACTTGCACTTTTTAGTTACGGTTCCAAATTATTTTTGGATTGGATGGAAAACTAGATGGATGCACATTTTGATGACTTTAATGATACCCGACGCCCTATTCAAACTTAAGTGGTATATATGCCCCCATTCTGAAACTTAAGTGATACCCGAGATATATTATCCACTAAAAAATCGTACAAAGTGATTCTTATCCAGATTAGATGGGGTGGTCAAGTGATTGGTTGAACCACGATTTGAGATCGACCCACTACCAATTATTATCTTAAACCTTCTTAACATGATATTATCCTTACCAGTTCTGGAGAACCTAATTAATAAAAACAGAAACAATATTGATGCGCCAAAGAACACGAGTACATTTGCATCGATCAAAACCATTTCCTTGGAGTTCCTCATTTCTCTTCGTTGTATCGCAATCCGCAAACACGTCCGTATCCAAGGAAGCCAACTATGAAGTATCAAAATAGTGAATAACGAATACGAAGCACGAAAAGTCTGTTATTTATGGTACAGATACAACTAGTCATGCGTGGGCGTACTTATCTCATCCTTAGTTTGATCAAAAGCTCTTCCAGAATGGTTGATAAGATACCCATATGGCCTTGAGAGTTTCGATGCAACCTGCAAACTCGACAACGCTATCCCGTCGAAAACTGAACAAACTACTCAACTTCTCTAATGATCCTCCTTTTACGCACTGATTCCGTAACGATGCTCCCTGGGGTGCTGTGAGCTTTCCTCCTTTCCTCTTTCTTCTTCTCAGCATCAATCACCGAGCGGCGCAACTCCTTAGCTTTGTATATTGGTCTTGGCAAATGCCTATGTCTGCACAATCATCCATAACGCACGCCAAATTAAGTTGCAGAAAATCGTGGCATAAAGGCTTGTCGTTAATCACTTTCACATGTGACCTGAAAAATTCGCTTACCTCACTATCCTTTTGACTTCAGGTAGATGCTTATAACGATTCTTGACAGCTTCCTGGTATTCGTGCTTTTTCTGTTCCCTTGGAAGCAACTGCAACAGCAGGATGTATAGATATTAGCAATTAGAAGAACATGATTCAGCAAAGCCTGATCTACATAAAACAGACTAATTAAGTCGGAACATGGAACTAAATATATCTTACAACTCCCATCTGCTCCGATGCTTTAGCTTTCCACAACCTAAGGTTTGTGTCATCACTCCCTGAAATAATGTAACTTGCATCACTGCTAAATTTGACACAAAATACCCTGCCAAAAAAAGAAGAAAATTGTGTTGTCATCAAATAACTATCAACTCGAAAAACGTCAGGACGAAGTTGCTATTTCATGGACTAGCATGACTTGTGAGTTTGAACAGGATATAAATAACTAAGGAAACAAACCTTTGCATTCTCTTTGTATGATAGATTTCCCGACTATGGCCACCGTTATATGGGAAAATTCTAACCTGCAATCAGACATCAGGCAGCAGTTCCATAAGATCAGAATCAGAAATTTACCCAAAGGACAGAGACTGAACGACAATGTAACTGTTCGCCTTTCAAGCAAAGACAACCAGTGAAAGATTGAACTTACAGTTCTATCATAAGATCCAGTTACAAACTCCCGGCCAGTAGGAGAGTAGTCTATGTCCATGCTGAAATAAGGATAGACAAGATTATAGATCTCCTGAGAAGGTATTAAAAGCACAAAAACAAAATTGCACATGCAGACGTTAAAAGAAATGAGCATGAACTCACACTGCAGAAACATGATCTTTGTGCACACATTTGGCTTCGTCCAGTTTTCTAGCATCATAGCTATAGCAGCTGCAATCCTCATTTGCCTGCAGAAATGAAAAATTGTATCATAAATTAGTTTGATAGTCGGGCACTAGCAAAGCAATCAGCAACAGTTAGGTATGCCTTGTATATCCATGTTTGACAATGGCAGCAAAATTATCAGACACCAGAAAGATTTTAACAATATCAATGGGCTTACTGCTGTGAAGTTGAGTGGCTCCATGGGGTTCCAAGCAATGGAATTGGTTCTTGTCTGTAACAAAAAGATAACACTCAGATTTACAGACATAACTGCAGTAGCAAGTAGCAAAAACCAGAAGCAAGCGAAATCAAAGTTTAGAAGAACCCAAGAGAATGAAACTAGAGGACAAGCAACCCAATAGACAAGCAAGTGAGTCATGAAGAAGGCTGTCAAAGCAGAGAGAATTGAAGTCTGAACTTTATCTGTGTCCTACACATAACTAAGTTTGCATTTCCTCCGACTTCAACATCAACCATAAAAATGGTGATGGTCTTCCACCCATATATGCACACATACATGATAGAAGGAATAGATACAAACTCAGTCGATTTTAGAAATATTGTACAGCAGCGATCTTACAGGACAAAAAGATAGCAATAAATTTTGAGATCATCAGCATGAATCACATCTAGAGTTCATAACCAAAAAATTTACCTGCATGATAAGTTTCCTTGCAGGAGTTGACATGCGCAAGTCATACAACGCAATGCTGCGATCACTGAAAAAATATTATGAAATTTTAGGAACAATTAACAACCTCTTCAACCCATAAGTATGTTGGACAAGCCAGTAGTATAGATCATTAACAACACAAAAACAAGCTACCAAACCAAAAGAAAACCACACACACCTGTACCTACAAAGCAAAATGGTTACCATTCAAGTTCTTGAGATTGGGGAATTGGACTCTGCTTATTAATAATATGGTAGTGGTATCAATGCTGAGACTATTTGAATTGGACTTCAACTGTCTGTATAATCCCAATTCATAATTTGCAACATAAAAGCTCAATCCAAAAGCACTATTTGCTATAAATCTTCTATTTCAATATCACCCTTCTACTTTGTTAAAAAACAATTGGAATCACATATACAGCGTCACCTATCCATACATTTCAATCATTAAGCCCTTAGCGACCAATACAGGATTCATCTTCCCACCACATACCTAGCTGACGTGGCCAAAAGATTTGGCTCCCCAGGATTAAACCGGACGGAGATAACTGTATCTGTCCCCCACTCGAAAGTGTTTACAGGCTGCGACCTGATAAAGAAGCCAATCTTGTCAAATCAATAATGAAAATTCAATATTTCAGTGTAATACAAAAAACCCAAGAAAAATAACCTGTTGTGGTTCCAAATTTCAACTCGAGCACCAGTTGTAGCAAAGAGGTCACCACCCCACTGATGGTCTACGGCCCTGTGATTAGATGGTAAAATGGAAAGTTGTTTAATAAGAATAATTAAAAAACCCAGCTATACTGAAGCTCATATGGAACTCGCAAGTAGTTCTTAAATCCTCACCAATAAGCATTCTTTCCAACATAAACTGCATTGGCCTGGATATGTAAACAAGCACAGTCAGCATGGCAATATGGGAAAGAGAGCACATTTATCAGACAGCAACAACAACGAAAGCACTACCTCGATGGGCTTATTAGAGGCATGATCTGATTCCAAGGTAGCAGCTACTGGCACACTCCAAATCCTAACACTAAATGTGCAGGATAAATCAAAATATATCCACACTCTAGAAAAAGATCTTGCTTGGAAGAGAAGAAACAAATATGCAGAAGCTCATACTTACGTGCAATCTGTTCCACAAGATATTAGGGTGCTTCCATCAGTGGATGCTGTTAAGCCTCTTACAGCACCTTGGTGACCAGGAAACTGACAAACTGTTTTCCTGCTCAATCCACACGTTCGGTGCAATTTTGGGTACAAAAATGTGAAGTAAGCATCCATCATAAGGTGAACCTTAACAAACAAAAATTGACATCTCAAAGCTGAAAAAAAGTACAATGGAACATTTTGATTCGGCAGACAGGACATGATAAAAAAGCGACTGACAAACAGAAGAGTCCTACATCAATCCAATTTGTGTTTTTTTTTCCACGTGGACCCCACTCATTGTTAATGAATGGTAGCAAAGCATACAAAAAAGGAAGATCTAACCGTATAAAATAACAAGTTCCTTCCAACAGACTACTACCATATTCTGAAAGATTTGTCAAATTTATGAGCAAAGCTGGATCCAAGTCATAGAAACTAATACCCACCTCACACAAGGTAATCAGGGTCATTCCTTTAGTTCTACTTAAGGACCCACGGGCTCTAATATCTACAGCAATAAATCACAACAATGAAGTCCCTTCTGCAGTTTTGCAGTGTGTTTTTCCATTCACAATTTCATCCAGACAACAAATTGTCAGTAAATGATAAATGGATCAAGTTGCATGAAGAGCCACCAGTTAATCTCTAGACAAAGTGAATATAATAAGCTAGGCAGAACGCAAAATGCTCCCCGTCTACCCTATGATGCCCAGCTAGGAAACCTATTGCACACCATGACCAGTCTTCGATTTTAAGAAAGAAATTGGCAGTGAGTTGTACAAAGAAAAGATTACCTGGAAGCTATATCCCAGAGGCGAATATCTGCAAACACCCATACAAAGCAATTAGAATCATCACAAACGAACAATGACACATCCACAGCTCTATATGAGAAGAATCCTGTATCTAACTCCAATATAATAGATAGAAGTGTAAGGTAGTGGCCTGGATACAACCATGATAAGTTGTGATACAATCCAACCTTTTACATTAATAGAGTCCTAGAACAAGCATAACAAAAATGAAGGCAAAAAGATCTTTTACCTCCATCCATAGAGCCGGAAAAAATCCCTTTCAAGAAATTGGGGTTCTTCGCCATACACGAAATAGCATCTATGTGACCATCCATTGCTCCTATAAATGGTCTTGCAAAGATCTAAGAGAATAATAATCAATTCCCCAGATGTTAGATTAGAAAGCAAATAAAAAATTCCATTCCTAGCAACTTGTTAAGAAGATGAATTCAAGCAGTCGTGAAAATCATCATCAGCATGAAAAAAATTCATAAAGCTCGAAGTTACCTTCTCTAACTTGGCAGCATTAAGTGCCCTGACATATTCAACTGCTTTCTCTTGAGGACGAAGTTTGGGGTCGAAATTGCGGAACACTCTCTAATTGAAAAAAAAAATTCCAGCAATTGAATTATTAAAAAGAGTATGCTGTTTGAAGAGACTATCAATGAAAAGAACAGAAAAGATATCATAAAATTTTAGTTATCTGGTTGGACCTGAAGATCTTGGCTTCTTTCTCGAGTAAACTCATCAGTAGAGCGTGATATTACTTTTACTTTCATCTTCTTCTGCTGGTCCTTGATTACCAGAGGGTAGCTTGCTTCCGCTCCTGTGTTTTCAAAACCAGACTGGTCAACAAACCTGCAACACAAATGTTTCCTGGTTTAAGCAGGAATGGAATCAATACCATTGAGAGTATCAAAGTGTCCGTGACCCAACCATTTAAAATAGATAGACACATGTTATTCAAAACCATTTAAAAATACATGCAAGGTTCAAATTTTAGATTGATTCCAACTATATTAAACTGGGAATTTCAAACTCTGCCTTAACAATATAATTATGAAATGTTCTTCTATAAGTGAAAGTAGACATAGTACAAAGAGAGCAGTAGATACAAAATATGTACTGCTGCGAAAAGACGGGTCCAGAAACATGCAATATAACTAGGGATGGCAATGGGTCGGGTTGGGGCAGGTTTTGCCAAACCCAAACCCAAACCCATGGGTTTATCCGCCAAAAAAACTCGGGGTAAAACCCGTCGGGTTTGAAAAGTTCAAACCCAATCCAACCCGTTGGGTATCCGCATGTTCATGGGTACCCGTGGGTTTTGTGATAAAAAAATTTAATCATTATAATCAATCCAAATTAATTAATATACACAGCAAGTCAGCAACTACTTAATATACATCAACGATTACTTCTGATCTCTTTATGTTTCACTTTTTCTATTCGTGTTCAGATTCCCTCCATTGATTACTAGCTAGCTACATCCCTTGATCCGTGTATTTTGTTTATACTATAAATCAGTAAAGATGATTGCTTTCTGCCAATAAAAATGAAGATTATACATACATCATCAAACAAAATTCCAAAATTCTGTTCGTGTCCATAGAATTCCAAAATGGCATATTGAAGCCATATATACATACATCAAACGAAATCTCAAACCTCAAATCTCTTACCTTACCAGTACCACCCAACGAGCAGAAGTGGGTGACTTCCTTTCCCCGACTTGAGCTGTGACAGCTCGTTCAAGTTTTCAACTCGTCGACAGGAGGCGGAGCCGCGAAGGAGCAGGTGGGAATGGTGGAAATGTCGACCGTCAGGCGTCGAAGGGTGGCGGAGCAGAGGAGCAGGGAGAGGGCGGCGGGGCGGGGCGGGGCGGGCGGCGGGAAAGGAGTCGGACGCGCAGAGCAGAGAAAGAGCAGTGGGAGGATGACGGGATGAAAATCGGGTCTGACGGGCGGCGGCTGTCGGGAATGGAGGCGGAAACGCAGAGTAGAGGAGGAGCAGGGGGAGGTCGGCGGGATGGGAAACGGGTTTTGGTGCTGGCGGCCGTCGGATTGGAGTAGGGACGGGAGGGTGGAGATGGAGATCGCGAGTCGCGAGTCAGAGAAGTAGAGGGATGAATGCGGCGGGGCTTTTGTCTCTGGAGAGATGGGAGAATCCGTGAAATGTTTGGGAAATTTAGGGTTAGTATGTGTATCCGGGTATATAGCTCGGGTACCCGGCAATAGGGCTGGGCATGCGGGCGGATCATCCGTGGGTTTGGGCCGACCCACCCGCATTTGACCCAAATTTCGTTAAGTGGGTGGGCCTGTGGGTGGGTGACGGGTTGCGCTGGGAGCCATCCGCCGGGTGGTGGGTGGGTTGTGGGTGAGTGTGTGGGTGACCCGCTCAACCCAACAACAAAAAGATCAAAGTCGTTGGCGCTATAGAGAGGAGTGTGGAGACGTTAGACATAAACTCGGACGGCTCCTGGAGTTTGAACCTCAAAGCCAACCTTCCAAATAGAGATCCCCTCTTCTTCCCTTTACTTTTTCCTCTAATTCTTGTGCCTAGATCACCGCTCTTTCCTTTGTGGAATTATTTTACTTAGTTCCTTGCACCTAATAATCGTCTCAATCTGTAAAAAACTCTTTCATAATAGAATTTCTATCCCATTTAAGAACTAATTCAACATTTTTCGCATATTTCAACTTCTTGTTTCCCTCGATGATTCTCTTCACCTATTATCATGTCAAGTTGACTGCTTTATATTATATACATTGTGATGTGGGTGAACCCACAAACCCACGCGCATCATCCACCATCCGCCCGACCCAACCCGAGACTAAATGTGGGTGGGTGGTGGGTTAAAAATTATCAATCCGTTTAAGCGTGGGTGGGTGCATTTTATGGTCAAAATCCACCCGACCCACCCAATGCCCACCCCTACCTGGCAACATTGGTTAACACTTAACAGATAAGATGGTATGATTGTCTCTCCATGGGCTTGTACCTAAACTTTGTAACTGTTTTTCAGTTTAATGAAACTGAGTTTGTAAAAAAAAAAAAAAAACAGATAAGATGACGGCGCCACATGAGCGGGCAAAAATCACATTGCCAAGTTTGAGCGGAGATAAGGCTCTTCGCTCCCCGCTCTTCTTCCTCTGTCAAATTCCCTCATTCTGCTTCCCTCCTTTCCAAAACCAACAATCGGGAGCTCCTCCGAGGGCGCCGATCACCGTAGCTTCGATTCGATGATACCTCTTATCTCCTTCCACGCTCCCCCTGCTCCTTCGCTCTTCCTATTTTCTCCTTCCCCTTCCGTCTTCCCTCCTCTCCCTCGCCTAAAGTCCTCTCCTCTTCTCCACCACTTCGCCGTCCACTCTGCCCCGACCATCTCATCTGCTCAGTTCTCAGCCGACCAGCCCGCGCAGCCGAGGACACTTTTTCCCGGCGGCTACAAGCGCCCTGAAATCAAGGTCCCCAGCATCGTGCTCCAGCTCCGGCCTGAAGAGGTTTTGAGCGGCGGAGACGATACGTTGGATCTGATCGACAGGGCGGTCTCGCGCTGGGTAGGGATCGTCGTGCTCGATGCCGGCGACGGGAGCGGGAAGACGCTCTACGAGGCGGCGTGTCTATTGAAGTCCGTCGTGAGGGATCGTGCCTACTTGTTGATTGCGGAGCGAGTTGACATTGCTTCTGCTGTTAATGCTAGCGGCGTCGTCGTCTCCGATCAAGGTTTGGTCTCTTTGCGATTAGAGAGGAGTTCATTTTTGATCCGTTGCTCAATAATTTCAATTCGCGATGCATGGTCCTATTCAGGTCTCCCTGCCATCGTTGCCAGAAGCATGATGATGGATTCCCAATCCGAATCAGTACTTCTCCCCCTGGTGGCGAAGATTGTTCAGACGCCAAAGTCAGCTGTTGAAGCAGCCAGTTTCGAAGGGGCTGATTTCCTCATTTTGTCATCTAGTAGCGTGGAGACTTTCGATCCAGAAGTTAACTCCGAATTCCAGAGTGTGAAGATTCCCATCTTTGTCGCTTATGGGATGGCCGGCTCGCTATTGGTCAACTCTCGTCCCAGTGGTTATGTTATGTCATTAGAAGACTTGAGGCTGGTCACGGTCAGTGATGATTCTTTCAGCCAGTTGTTTCAACCCGAGCAGAAAGCTCAGAACGAATTCGAACAGTACCATAGACACGATAAGAGGTTGGATGATGTTAATGGCAAAGATGCTGTGGCTGGGTTTGTTAGACTCGAGTATAAAGAAAAACAGCTCATAGGAAAAGAGAAATCTTTGTTGCTTGAAGCTATCGACATAATCAAGAAAGCTGTTCCTATGGTAAGCTTGTATTCGGGAATTTTTGCGTTGCTTGCTTCGGTTTATCTGGGTATTCTAAGCTTTCATCACTGTTGTCATTGGATTTAATGCTTGAATCCGGGTTTTTGTTTTGAATGACAGATGGAGGAGATCTCGCTTCTAGTTGATGCAGTTTCTCAAATTGATGAGCCATTTTTACTGGCTATAGTGGTAATTGTGTGCTGAACTCCAACAAACTCTGGTTCCAGCGATATGCATTGGTATTAGCTCTAAATTTCAAATGAACACCTTTTCTATTTGCGTGAACAGACTAAGATTAGAGGGCGCTTTCATGCTTTCAGCTCTGGCTTCATACTTGCATTCCCCCTTTTCTTTTTGAACAACTTTTGGGTGGACAATGAAAACTATGGAAATTGCATTGCTAGTTTTATGTTACAAAAATTCTACTAGTTCTTAGTCACCCTTATCCTTGCATGCACCCCAATGCACTGGTTTGACATTCTATTTGTTCTTGTAATAACTTACTTTTGGGATTATTTATTTGCCTCTGGGCTTAATATCATATCTTGTTTTGGTTCCATATCGTATCTTCCTTAGGCCAAGAAAATCTTCTGTAGCAAATATCTTATGGTGGATACTGTGGATTTTAGAGATACTTGTTGGATTTTTGTGTCCCTACCCTAGAAATTCCGCTGAGGCTTTTCTGCTCTCACTATTCTTGATCCAACTTGGTCTGAGCAGGGTGAATTTAACTCTGGTAAATCAAGTGTTATTAATGCTCTTCTTGGGGAAAGATACCTCAAAGAAGGCGTTGTCCCTACAACAAATGAGATTACATTCTTGCGGTATTCTGTGGATGATGCTGCAGAGCAACAGCGATGTGAACGGCATCCAGATGGCCAATTTATTTGCTATCTTCCAGCTCCAATTCTTAGGAAGTGAGTTCATTTACATTTAATCATTAGACTACTGACTAGAGGCAACAGACTTTAGGTCCAGTATGGGATCAAAATTTTGATTTACATGCTTGTTCTTATATCAGCTTGTTTTTCAGTTATCTTGTTCTTTTATAAATCAGTATTAGTTAAGGTAACATGCATTTGAAGTTATCCTCTGTATACAAGTCGTTTTGTTGTTCTTCACCTACAGAATGATCCTTGTAAGGTAAATTGTTTCTGCAACTTAATTCTTATAACAACTTCTCACTGTATGATTTCTTGGACTTTTGCATATAGTATATGAATTGTGAACTGATTAATACAGGATCACTTCAATTTAATCCAGTGGGATGATAAAGACTTCCAATATGAAGTGACCCTTTACTTGGTTATCTGTTATGTTCTGGTTGTTCATGAAGCTGCAGCATCGTTAGTGTGATTAAGGAACACGCTAAAGTTTTTTTCTAGTGTTTCTGAATAAATGCTGAATTCAGTTAGATAATTTGTTGTTAGCATTGATGCCAGATTGATCACAGAAATATAGCTTGATAAGTGCAGTTCATTTTGCTTTTAGATAAAAGAAGTCATTGGACTTGGTTCTTTCTATTTGCTAAACTAGTCAAGTGAATTGTCAGGGAAGCATGACCTCATGATCATGACTAATATGCTTCATCATTTTTAAACAGATGAATATTGTTGACACGCCAGGAACCAATGTTATTCTCCAACGGCAACAGCGCCTCACAGAGGAATTTGTACCTCGGGCGGATTTGCTTCTTTTTGTAATTTCTGCTGATCGGCCATTAACTGAAAGTGAGGTAAGTACTAAGTATGAAATATCTGTATGCTTATAACACATCTAGGTGATGGATTATAATTATTTGAAATTTGAATAGACAAGCTACGACCTGTAGTTCTGATGTAACTTACATTGTCCTAATGAAACCTGCAAACGATTATTGCTTATGCATTGCAACGTGCGGGAGTAGAATGTGACAGGGGGTCATTGGAAATGGAGCTATTAGCTGAGTTGGTTCTCAATTCATGCCTGACTGGATCTCACACCACATTTCTGATGCTATCCCTGTATTTTGGTTTTGTTTATATGGGTATATGAATGTTTTGCTCAATTATTTTGTTGTCAAGGCTTATTTTGTTGCTCACTGAAACAAAAACAAAAACAAAACAAAACAAAAAAAAAAAAAAAAAAAAAAAAAGAAAGAAAGGCTTATCCTTGCTCACAAGTTTTTCCACTGATGGGGATATATTGCAGGTAACTTTTCTTCGATATACCCAGCAGTGGAGAAAGAAGATTGTGTTCGTGTTGAACAAGTCTGATCTATACCGGAATGACAGTGAGGTTCAACTCTGAATTCCTTCCATTTGTCTTTCATGCTGTTAATTTGGAAGTAGCTTATCTTCTGTTTTGACCTTTTCTGGCACTGGAGTGTGTTAAAATTTTCAGCATGACTTTTGTGCAGCTTGAGGAGGCTTTGTCATTCATCAAGGAGAATACAAGGAAGTTGTTGAATTCAGAAAGCATTACTGTCTACCCTGTCTCTGCACGGTCTGCACTTGAAGCAAAATTGTCATCTTTAGATCTCCACAGTGCCCACACAGAGTCTCACTGGAGAATTGACAAGTTCCACGAGCTTGAGAAGTTCTTGTATAGCTTTTTAGATGGCACAAGGACAGGAATGGAAAGAATGAGGCTCAAACTGGAAACCCCAATACGAATTGCTGAGCGTTTGCTCTCCAGTTGTGATACTCTTATAAAACATGACAGCAGATTTGCCAAGCAGGATGTAGCATATGCAGCCGGACTTGTTGACAGTCTGCAAGATTGCTCTGCAAAGGTTGAAAATGAGAGCCTTTCTTGGAAACGAAAAGCTCTATCTCTGGTATAATCTTAAAGATGAAATCTCCACTTGTGTGGACGGTACAAATTGGGGAATATTTTTGGCGTGTGTTACTGATATAGGTCAATGAAATTTCAGATTGATGCAACAAAAACCCGGGTTGTGGATCTGATAGAATCAACACTGCAGTTATCAAATCTTGATCTGGTTGCCTCGTATGTATTCAAAGAGAAGTCTGCGATGCCTTCCACTTTGAAGATTCAAAACGAGATAATATCTCCAGCACTATCAGATGCTCAAGTAAGTTACAGCTGTGGCTTAAAAGTAACCATTTCTATTTTTATTTTTTCATCCCCCTTCTTTTGTACTTAATTTTGAAGGATGCCAAAGAAAATTTTGTTGAACTTTTAGATGCATGGTGGTCGGGTTTGAACAAGTGTCACTCATATCTTCCTTGCAGAAATTACTAGAAGAATACCTGACATGGTTAAATTCAAACAGTTCCCGTGAAGCAAAACTGTTCAGAGAATCTTTTGATAATAGGTGGCCTTTGATTATTGATCGGAACACGCAGATGCAGCTTGACGCCCTGGAATTGTTGAAGATAGTTGATGACTCAAGCTTGAAAGTGCTAGAAAACTTGAATGTTGCTCAAGCTTCCAAGTTATTCGAAGAAGAAATCCGTGAATCGGTTGGTTATTACTAATTCTTGGCGCACTCAGTTAGCAATATCAACCAATGACCCAACTTCATCCTTCAAATATTGAGGAACATTTTGCGTTGAATTTCAGTTCTTGGGCACGTTTGGTGGTATTGCAGCTGCTGGCTTGCTGGCCTCTCTTTTGACGTCAGTGCTACCCACTACTTTGGAAGATCTACTTGCTCTTGGCTTTTGTTCTGCTGGAGGGTAATCTATATCTGTACACCCTTTATGTTGTCATGTGTTTGTATATTCAGCCTTGATGTATACTTATCCTCGATGTTTGTGATAGGTACATTGCGATTCTGAACTTTCCTGTGCGAAGAAGGGCGATGATCGTCAAGGTGAACAAGATCGCCGTTGGCTTAGCACTTGAAGTAGAAGAAGCAATGCAGAAGGATCTTTCAGAAACTGTGAAAAATCTAGAGAAGTTTGTGAAAACCATAGGCAAGCCTTACCAAGATGCAGCACAAGAAAGGCTAGACAAGGTTCTAGTGTTGCAAAGCAAAATATCCAAAGTAGAGAACAAGATCAGAACATTGCAAGTAGAGATCCAAAATCTTCATGTACCCTGAGGTTGGCCGGGCCAGATTGATTCTGCAGGACATTGTCTGGAGGCCAATCCTTTCTTTCAATACGAAATTCAAGATCCGGCTCCTGATGGTCATGAATGGATTACACTATAATTAGTTCATCATCTGGGGGAAAATGCATTAAGCAGGTATATAATGTTAATATACAAGAATGTTGTATTCTTTTGGTATGGGCAAACCCGACGACTTGCCAAATCTAACAAGGGAAGGTGTCAACATCCACAAGCTCCAAATTATACGCCTGCCTTGTGCTTCAAGATTCAGTCCTTTTATGGAAACATCATGTGATAATTTATTATTCAGAAATGTTTCTGTCACAAATAACAATTATTACAAAGTTTAGACTTTCCAATCGTATTAACCGGAAAATAAGGGTAAATACTACGGTCACTGTGATTACTAAATCATGTCATGTTTAGGCACTAGAAAAAACTAATATCAATTTTGGTCACTCGAACTACTGAAACATGTCACATTTAGTCACTCTCCCGTTAGTTTTAGTCCAACTCCATTATATTAATTTTGGTCACTCGAACTACTGAAACATGTCATATTTAGTCACTCTCCCGTTAGTTTTAGTCCGACTCCATTAATGGAGTTGGACGGAGGCTAACAGAGAGTGACTAAATGTGACATGTTTCGGTAATTCAAGTGACACTCATAAAAAAAAAAAAGTAATTCGAGTGACCGGAGTTGGACGGAGGCTAATGGGTGAGTGACTACATGTGATGTGCTTTAGTAATTCGAGTGACCACAATTGATATTAATTTTTTCTAGTGACTAAACATAACATAGTTTAGTGATCCCAGTGACCAAATGTGATATTTACTCCAAATGTGATATTTACTCCAGAAAATAACATGGGATGTGATTGTATTTGTCTGCAAGATGACATTATGATTGCTAGTATCAGTTTGGATGCCATCGTTATGAGTATACTGCAGGCTGAATTCAAAATGAAGGATTTAGGACGATTGATGTACTTCCTTAGGTTGGAAGTGACAAAGGGAGTTAAAGGAATCGAGCCAGCGGATTCGAATTCTACTGTGCCGGAGCACAAAGCAAGCACGGTTCCAAGAAGAGAAAACACATAACTCATAAGCCAAAGATGTATTCGATATTGAATTTCATGTAATCTTGGCCGATTGGTTTTCAAGGGTTAGAGCTCTTTCTATCTCCCTTTCAATTTCATCGCCGAAACATGATTAGTGGACGGTATTAATCGTAATCTAGGTCGGTTCCGGGAGTTTCAAAGAGAATGTATTGTCTTGATCTTTTGATGAAGCCTGTCTGTGTTTGAGAATTGTAAACATGTAACTACACTAATTTATGTGAAGGAAGTTCCATCATCAGCAAGGGGCACTACCTTGGAAGATGGAGCACTGCCTTAGAAGATGCAAGTGTTACAAGTATTCGGTAGGTCAGGTACATTACTTAAACAACAGTAAGTTCAGACATTCAAACAACTTTATCAGTATCAACACAATCCAACCACATCGCGTCTAAGACCCCGGTATTGAGAAATTTAAAAGGTTCTCTATGACGGAGGTTACTTTACTTTAAAGATGCTACATTTGAATTAAGAGGGTACAGTGATTCAGATTGGGCTACATGTCCAGATACCAGAAAATCTATTACTGGGTACTATGCTTTTCTTGGCTCTGGAATTGTAACTTGAAGTAAAAAGTAGAAAACCGTGTCAAGATAATCTTGAGAGATAGAGTACAGAGCATTGACCAGTTTGAGTTGTGAAGTTGAATGGTTATTGAGGTTGCTTAATGATTTTTTAGTTCAACATTCTCCATTAATTAAGGTGTATAGTGATAAACAGTTAGGCATCAACAATTAACATAGTAGAGAATCCAGTATCATGAAAGGACCAAATAGATAAATGTGGATTGCCATGAGATCTGAGAATGAGTTCAACCATGTTTAATCACCTTACATCATGTCTTAGTAGATTTGCAACTAGTTGATGTATTTGGCTAAGAGTTTATTAAATTGATCGTCTTGCTTGATTGTTATCCAAGCTTAGAGTATATAATCTATACTTGTCAGCTTGTGGGAGCCGGGAGGGTAACAAGGAGTCAGAATGATGATGATCAACCCAGTTGTACTGCAACAATGGGTTGCCTATAGCTCAGCTCTTGATTACAATGCAAGTAAGAAGAATAAGGAAGCAGAGAGAAACAATGCCATCAAAGTGAAGTGTTGTGTTTCACTTTCACTTAGTTGTTTGTATAACGTTTTTATTTTATTTTATTTCATGGTACAGCTACATGTGGTCTACTGTAATTTTTTTTTTTACAAGTAATCTGTATTGAAGATTAAGAAAGTTCAGGTACTACAATGCCATCTTTAGCTAAAATAGGTATGAGAAAAAAAGGGGCATGGTTGAACCACACTTCAGTCTCATCTGGCCGACATCGGGTGCGAGCCATTAGGTGGGCACCTTCATTCGCATTCCTCCCCAAGAATCTCCATTGAACATTTCCAGCTTCCTCCGCCAGCTCTATGATCTCATCACAAATCCCCCCAATCTCCCAAGTCGTTGAATCCCATCTATCCAGCTTCTGAACCACCGATTTGAAGTCTATTTCCATGAGCAAAGGCATAAAAACATGGTTTTTTGCCAATTTCAAACCCCACAAGAGAGCAAGAGCTTCTGCCGTCTCCGGCGGCCATTTTGTCCTTGTTCGATGCACCGCCGCCATCTGAAAAGTACCATCTCCATTTCTAATCACCATCCCGAAACCCGTTCCCTCCTCCCCCAAAACTGCGGCATCTGTGTTCATCTTGAACATCCCCTGAGGCGGAGGTTCCCAGACAGCCCGAATCGGCGGCACCTTAGGTTTCGGGTCGGGGCCTTTCTGCAACTGCTAGTATTCCTCCATGTAATTTTGTGCTCTCATCACTACCTCCCACTCCTCTAGCTTGTGATTGTTGAATAGATGGTTATTTCTCTCTTTCCAGAGAAACCATAGGGTAATCAGAACCGTAGTAAGCTCTTCCTCGGTCGTTCCTTCAATTAGATTACATAGTCATTCCTCACAATTCTTCCCTTCTCCCATTTCAATATACTTCGCCAAATGACTTGGTCTCCATACTCTTCCCACCCAATCGCAGTCCCTAGTGATGTGTTCTTGCGTCTCCACTAACCCGCAGAAAGGGCATTCATCATGAGCTTCTAAGATTCTTCTAATCAGATTTGCACCCGTGGGAAGAATATTACTGCCCCATCGCCACACAAATACTCGTACCTTAGGTGGTAGATTCAGCATCCATAACTGTTTCCAATCAATGGGGACATAATGCTCTACGTGGTTGCTTAAGTGTCTTCTCCTCCACTCTTTATAGGCTGATCGAACAGTATACTTCCCAGATTTCTCCTTACCCCATATTCGAACATCTGGTCTTGATCTAAAGGGGAGCGGTATTTGTTTGATCCTCTCTCGATCCGCCGGTTGGAAATTTGTTTGCAAAAGATTGCTTTTCCAGGATCGAGACTCATGATCAATCAATTTCAACACCCTTTCCATCATTCCCCAAACCATTCACATGTGTTTGGACTTTATAGTCATCAGCTGCTGGGATCCATCTATCCCACCAAATTCATACACTTTCCCCATCTCTTATCCTCCATATCGTCCCCTCCCTTAACAGACTTTGAGCTTACATCAAGCTTCTCCATATATAACTTGGGGTTGTACCTATCCCAGCCTCTAGTATGTCCCTGTGAGGATAGTATTTTGCCTTAAATACACGAGCTACTAGGGTGTTAGGATTTTGTAATAGATTCCAAACCTGCCTTCCCAGTATGGCTATATTGAAGCCATGAAGGTTTCTAAAGCCCATGCCACCCTCATATTTGGGTCGACACAGCTTTTCCCAGCTCATCCAGTATATCCTTTTCTCTTCCCTTTTCTTTCCCCACCAAAAACTAGCAATCATACTCTGTATTTCCTGAATCACCCCCTGAGGGATTAAGAAAACTGACATAGCATAAAGTGTTTGAGCTTGGGCCACTGCCTTAATGAGTACTTCTTTAGCTGCATTAGATAGCAGTTTTCCTTTCCAGTGTTTGATCTTGTTTCGGACTCTGTCAATTAGCTGAGAAAAAACAGCTTTTTTTGCTCTTCCAATCACAGTAGGTAGACCTAGGTACTTGTCATGGTGCATAACAGTCTTCATACCTAGGATCCTAGCCATCTCTTGTCTGTCACTATCCAAAATATTTGTGCTGAAAGACAGTTCTGATTTGGCCAGACTGACTTGTTGCCCCGAGGCTTTTTCATAGTTGCTCAATATATCCCTCACCATCTCACCCTCTTCCTTCTTATTCTCAAAGAAAAAGATGATGTCATCTGCAAAGAAAAGATGGGTGATCATAGGGCCATTGCTGCTCACTTTTATCCCATGTAACCTCCCTTCCTCCACTGCTTTTTTAGTTAGAGCAGACAAACCTTCAGCACATAGTAGAAATAGATAGGGGGATATAGGGTCTCCTAGTCTTAGCCCCCTTGTTGGTTGTATAATAGCTGTTTGGTGGCCATTTATCAAAGCATAATAGGTCACAGTAGATACACACTGCATAATTAGCTGAACCCAGTCTTCATGAAATCCCAGTTTGAGCATAATCCCCTCCAGGAAAGCCCATTCAACCCTGTCATATGCCTTGGCTATGTCCAATTTTGCTGCAACATACCCCTTTTTCCCTTGTTTCCTATTCTTCATGGCGTGAAAACACTCAAAACCTACCATTATGTTGTCTGTGATGTTCCTTCCAAGAACAAAAGCACTCTGAGTCTCAGTTATCACCTCATTTAGGATCCTCTTTAGCCTATTTGCAAGCACTTTAGATAGGATTTTGTAAAGTACCTTGCATAGTGCAATAGGTCTGAATTCCTTAGGGGAACTTGGCTTCTCAGTCTTTGGAATCATTGCCAACAAGGTATGGTTTAGTGATCGAGGAATTTGACCTGTTATCAGGATTCTTTGTAATTCCAGACAGATTGTATCCCCAACCACTGCCCAGTTCTTTTGGAAGAATAGGGCTGGCATCCCATCTGAGCCTGGTGCTTTGGTGGGTGCCATCAACTTTAAAGCTTCCCAGATTTCCTCTCTAGTGAAAGGAGCCAGCAGTTCTTGATTCATTTGGGG